CAGATCGTGGGCATGAAGTAGGTGTGAGTGGAGGCGCCCCGCGGCCCGCGCGGGCCGCCAGCGGGCGGGGGGTTGGGCTTTCCCGTCGGGTGGGATCTGCTTCGGGCCCCTCCCTCGCTTCGGGCCCGGTGGGCCCGTTGCCGTCCTCTGGCGGCGTTCCGCCCTTGGTGTGTTCGGCCTCTGGTAGGCCATCCCCGAGGCTGATCCCCCTGTGGGAAATGCTTAGCTCGTTGGTTAGAGCTGCCCAGCGTCAGTCAGAGTTATGGATGCATGTGGCGCGAGTGGGGTCGTAGTAGTAGTAGTAGTAGTAGTAGTAGTAGTAGTAGTAGTAGTAGTAGTAGTAGTAGTAGTAGTAGTAGTAGTAGTAGTAGTAGTAGTAGTAGTAGTAGCAGTAGTAGTAGTAGTAGTAGTAGGAGGAGGAGGAGGAGGAGGAGGAGGAGGAGCAGGACCAGGAACAACAGGGGAATGAAGAGCAGGACGAGCAGAGGAAATCGGAAGAGGGGAAAGGAGGAGGAAGGCAACGACGAGGGAATAATCGGGTCCAGAAGTGTGGCCCGCACGGGGTCGACATCGCCATCCTGAGCGACGGGGGCCAAACACCGATCCTGAACCGCGCCCAACTCTGCAGCATGACATCCGCTTGTTGAAGAACAAAAGATAACCCGATCGACCGAAACTATGTTTTCCTCGGGGATGAGATAGCGCAGTGGTATTCCCGTTCGCAAACACGTACAATCAGAGATTGACGCATCACCGATCGCGCACCCCACGCGCGATATGGCAGCCCACGTTGCTGTAATCTCTGAGAGCCCACATAACATAATGATTGCTGACGCCATGAAAACGATTGCCGAACGCCATCGAACAGAAAAGCATGTATTTTAAACGGATGTCGATCTCAGATTCGAGCACCATCGAAAACATCATGCAACTGATTGTCTCTTGTAGGTCGCTCATCACATGTCAAAACCCGCAGTGATGCAACACTGCACGAATACTGCACTGGTTTCGAGCCATGGCGGTTGATCCCTCGAAAACCCCTGGCAATGTCCATCAACTTATACGGTGCAGATTCGAATGCCCAATTGATGAGGAACGTTTCCAAATCGGCCCCTGTGGCCGCGTCCCGAACCGCTACAATGTGCATCTCGGCGAAGCGTTTGCAATGTACTTCCATATAGCCTTGTGGCGTCATGCCGCCGATCCACCCGAAGGTCGGACTGACCGTCGCACTACGTACACACGCGGCCCCTGAGACAAGTGCCGCCACACAACCTTCCCAGCAGCGCGGTCGTCATCGAAAATTCTGTAACCCGATACAGAAGACCATCCCAAAGACATATCGCTGGATCGCTGCACTTCGCGGTCGCCGCTGGAGGTCAATTGGTCGAGCTCGAAGTGGAGAGTCGGATGCTGGAGGTTGGAGGTCTAAATGTTGAGTTGATGAACGTTGGAGGTCGATAAATGGAAGTGGAGGTGGAGAGTCGGATGCTGGAGATTGCAAGTCGGAGTGCTGACATGGTGGACGCTGAGGTCGATTAGTGGGGGGGGAAGTGGACAGTCAAATGTTGGAGGTTGGAGGTTGGAATGCTGAACGAGTGGAGGTAGGGAGGTCGATAGGTGGAGGTGGAAGCGGAAGGTCGCATGCAGGAGGTTGGAGGTCGAAATGTTGAGCTGGTGAACGTTGCAGGTCGATCGGTGAAGCTGGAAGTGGAGAGTCGGATGCTAGGGGTTGGAGGTCGGAGTGCTGAGCTGGCGGGCGCTGGAGGTCGATTGGTGGAGGTGGAAGTGAAGAGTCGCATGCTAGAGGTCGGAGGTCGCAATGTTGAGCTGATGGGCGCTGGAGGTCGATAGGTGAAGGTGGAAGTGGAAAGTCGGACGCTAGAGGTTGGAGGTCGAAATGTTGAGCTGATGAAGGTAGGGAAGCCAATCGGCGAACGCAGACCAGGAAGCGGGCCGCCTTAGCAAGCGAACTCACTCACGCCACTCACACCAACGCTCACTACACGAACTCACTCACTCACTCGCACCGACAGGGGCGCGCCCCTCTCAGAAAGGGGGCGCGCCGATCAGGTAACTGGGCGGCGCAAGCACTGTAAGCGGGCGCTCGCGCCAGGGGGCGCGCGCGCGACGGAATGCAGTCGCGCGGGCGCCAGAGACGCGCGGAAGCGGCGACGGCCGCGCCTTCTTCAGGGCGGGGGCCACGTGACCCAGGGGGCCGACAGCCGCGCAAGGTGCTCATTGCTGGCCCGCCACGCCAGACGCGCACATCGCAACCCGCCAAACCTCGCAATGAAAGCGCAAGCCCCGCGCACGGAGCCGCGAATCGGACCCGCGCAGGCGCGGCAGCGGACTTCCAGGCTGGGCGCGCCAAGCGCGTCGGTCAAGCTGGGCCCTCGTGCTCGAGAAGCGCCGAGCGCAGCTGCGCCGCCAGGGCTGCGCGCGATCGCGCAGCGCGCTTCGGGCCCAGGCAGCGCAGAGGCCAAGGCCGAGCAGCGCGACGTCGTCCTGGGCGCCCCCCGCGTCGGAAACTGCCACCGCCGCCCCGGCGCTGGAGCCCGCGGCCTCCTCAACTCCCCCCTGCCTCCGACGACTTGCCAGTCGCTGACAGGGCTAGCGTGATATCGCAGCGTTGGACGGCGCGCTCGAGCCTGCTGGTAATCGCCCGTCGCCCCGGCCCGGGCGCCCCCGCGCTGCCGGGAGACACGCGCTGTTCGACGCGGCCCGCAGCGTGTCGACGAGTCTGGGGGGCGCCCGAGGCGGGGGCGGGAGGGGGTCGAACGACTACGCGACTCTCTGGCGCAGGAGCGCCATTGGTCGCGCCCCCGCGCGCGAGGCGCGGCGCCATCCAATGGAGGGGGCGGTGAGAGGATGCCAAGAGGATGAGCGGTCGAACTGTCGCCGCGCAGCGCGCTCTGGTTCCTGGCGCCGCCATCGCCGCAGATCGCGCCAGCGACGCGCGGGGCGATTCGGGCGGTCATAGACAGCTCTGGTTAAAGCCCCTCGGTGCGAGGGCCTCCCGAGGGCCCCCGCAGCTCCCAGAGAAGGCTTCAACGGGGCCCCCGCTTCGGCCGAGACGTCTCCCAGGGCGCCGGCGCTGAGCCAGCGGGGCGCAAGGACTGCGCGGGGCCCACATGCTGCGCCGGCGACAAGCTGGCCATGCCAACCCGTCGCTGAGTCGCCGCCGCCCACGAGCTCATCGCCCGCGCCCGCCTCCAGGGGTGGCCCGGCCTCAACCCACCGCTCGCCCGCGCGACCGCGAGACGCGCCCACCGCCGCGGCGATGGACATCGCCCCTGCGCCACAGGAGCAACGCGCGAGGCCCGACGGCGCCGTCGGAGGCGAGAGGCCGCCTTCCCAAGGTATAAGGGCAAGACGCAGACCCGCCTTCAGGAGCGCCGCGGTCTCCGCCGAAAGTTTGATCGACGTCGCCCCAGCATCGCAAGGGCCACGCGAAGCACCCAGCGACGCATTCGAGCGGAAAGCGCCCTCCAAGAGTGCGAGAGCTGCGCCAGCGGGGCGCGCGAACTCCGCGGGCTTGGCGAGCTGCGCGGGCGACTGGCTGGCGATGCAGACGGTTTCTGAATTGCCTCGCCTCCGTCGGGGAGGTCCCAACGCGCGCCGCCGCAGCCGCCGCCGCTGCCGTCGCCCCCGCGCCTTCAACGGCACCGACGCTGCCGCCCGCCCCCGTCCGCGCCGCCCGAACCCGCGTCTCGCTGGGCAGCGGCGGGGCCAGCTGCCGCTGCCGCGGCTCGCTCTCCTCGCGCGCGCTGATCGGGGCGCTGCGCTCCGGCTTTCACCGACCACGCGCCGTTGAGCAGCGACAGGGCCGGCCGCCGGCGTTCGCCCTTCTCGCGCGCGCTGAGCTGGGCGCTGCAGCCCGCGACAGAGGGCCTCAACTTCGCCGCCGACAGAGATCGCGAGAGCCAGCGTGTCCGGGAGAAAATGCTGGTACTGCTGGTGTCCGTCGTGCTGCTGGCCGTCGCGCTGCTGGAATCCGTCGTGCTGCTCGCGATGGCGCTGCTGGAATCCGTCGTGCTGTTCGCGATCGCGCTGCTCGAGTCTGCCGCGCTGCTCGCAGTGGCGCAGCTGGAATACGCAACGCTGCTCAAGGTCATGCCGATGGAGTCCGTCGCGCCGTTCACGTTAGCGATCATGGAGTCCGTTGCGCTGCTCGCGGCTGCGTTGCTGACGTCCGTCCTGCTGCTCGCGGTCGCGCTGCTGGAGTCCGTCGCGCTGCTCGCGATGGCGATGCTAAAATCCGCCATGCTGTTCACCGTCGCGCTGCCCGACGTCGCCGCGTTGCTCGCCCAAATGCTGCTCGAGCTCGTCGCGCTGCTCGCGATGGTGCTGCCGGAGTCCGCCAGGCCATTCGCGTTCGCGCTGCCAGAGCCCGCCGCGCAGCTCGCGATGCTGACGCCAGAAGCCGCCGCGCTGCAACGTCGCGCTGCTGTAGTCGGCCGCGCTGCTTGGGGCGGCGCTGTTGGAGTCCGTCACGCAGCTCGCGATGCTGCCACTGGAGCCTGTTATGCTGCTCGCGGTCGTGCTGCTGGATTCCTTTTGCTGCTCGCGATGGTGTTGCTGGAGCCCGCCGTGCTGATTGCGGTCGCGCTGCTGGAGTCCGCCCTGCTGCTCGCGGTCGCGCTAATTGAGTCCACCGCGCCGCTCCCGATGATGCCGCTGGAGTCCGTCGCGCCGCTCGCGATGACGCTGCTGGAACCCGTCGTGCTGATCGGGGCCGCGCTGCCGGATTCCGTCGCGCTGCTCGCGGGCGCGCTGCTGGAGTCCGTCGCGCCGCTCACGATGGTGCTGCAAGAGTCCGCCATGCTGCTCGCGGCCGCGATGCCGGAACCCGTCGTGCTGCGCGCGGTGGTGCTGCTGCAGCACGGCATGCTGCTCGCTGTCCTGCTGCTGGAGTCTGTCACGCTGCTCACGATGGTGCTCTGGGGCACGTCGTGCTGCTCACTGCAGTGCGGCTGGAATCCGTCGTAGTGCTCGCGATGGTGCTGCTGGAGACCGTCACGCGGCTCCTGGTCGTGCTGCTTGGGTCCGTCCTGCTGCTCGCTTCGTTACTGCTGGGATACGTCAGGATGCTCATGGTCATGCCGATGGAGTCCGTCGCGCAATTCACATTGGTGCTGCTGATATCCGTCGCAGTGCTCGTGATCGTGCTGCTGGGGCCCGTCGTGCGGCTCAGGGCGGAGCTGCCGAAGTCCGTCATGCTGCTCGTGGTCGCGCTGCTGGAGTCCGTCGCGCTGCTCGCGATGGCGCTGCTAGGGCCAGCTATGATGCTCACGGTCATTATGCTGGAGCCCGACATGTTGGTCGCGATGATACTGATGGAGTCCGTCATTCTTCTCACGGTCGCGGTGCAGAGGTCCGCCGTGCTGGCCACGATGGTGCCGCTGGAGTCCGCCATGCTGCTCGCGGTAGCGTTGCAGGGGCCCGTCATGCTGCTCACGGCTGTGCTGCTGGATCCTGTTATACTGCTGTCGTGCTGCTGGAATTCCTCGCGCTGCCCGCGATGCGTCTGCTGGAGTCCACCATGCTGCTCGTAGCCGTGCTGCTGAAATCCGTCGTCCTGCGTCGTGCTGCTGGAGTCCGTCATGCCGCTCGCGATGGCGCTGCCGGAGTCCGCCGCGCTGATCACGATGGCGTTGCCTGGGTCCGTCATGCGGCTCCCGGCCGTGCTGCTAAGTCCGTCGCGCAGCTCTTGTCAATCTATACTGCTGGAATCCGTCGTGTTGCTCACGATGGTGCGGCCTCAGTCCGTCATGCTGTTCGCGGTCGCACTGCTGGAGTCCGTCGCGTTGCTCGCGATGGTGCGACCTGGGCCCGTCGCGCTGCTCGTCGTCGTGCTCCTGGAGGCCCTTGGGCTGCTCGCGCTGGTGCTGCGGGCGTCCGTCCTGCGGCTCACTGCAGTGCTGCTGGAGTCCGCCTCGCTGCTCACAGGTTCCTGCTGGGGCCCGACGTGCTGCGCGCGGTCGCGCTGCAAACATCTGTCGCCATGCTCGCGCTGGTGCTGCCACGAGCCCCCTATCAGGTTGCTCGCGGTCGTGCTGCCCGTCGCGGCGTGCACGGCCTTGCTGCCGGGGCCCACCGTGTGCCGCCCCCGGTCGTGCTGCTGGAGTCCGCAGCGCTGCTCGCGATGAGATTGCTTGAGTGCGTCATCCTGTTCACGGTGGTGCTGCTGGGGCCCGCCGCGCCGCAAGCGTTGCTGCTGCTGGAGTCCGTCATGCTGCTCACCATGATGCTGCTGGAGTCCGTCGCGTTGCTCCTGGTCGTGCTGCCTGGGTCCGCCATGCGGCTCCCGGCCGTGCTGCTGGAGTCCGTCCTTCTTCTCGCGATATTTGTGCTGGCGTCCGACATGCTGCTCAGGGTCTTGCTGCAGGAATCCGTCGCGTTGCTCACGATGGTGCTGCCCGAGTCCGTCGTGTTGGTCACGGCCGCGCTGCTGGAAACCGGCGTGCGGCTCGCGGTCTTGTTGCTGGGGTCCGTCATGCTGCTCGCGGTCGGGGTGCACCTGTCCGTCGTGCCGCTCACGATGATTCTGCTGGAGTCCGCTATGCTGCTCGCGGTCGCGATGCTGGAGTCCGTCCTGCTGCTCACGGTGGTGCTGCTGGAGTTCGACGTGCTGCTCGCGGTCGGGCTGCAGGAGTCCGTCGTGATGCTCGCGATGGTGCTGCTGGAGTCCGACGCGCAGCTCGAGGACGTGATGCTGGAATACGTCGTGGTGTTCAGGGTCTTGCTTCTGGGGTCCACCATGCTGCTCACGGCAATGCTGCTGGAGTCCGTCGCGCTGCTCGAGATGAGTTTGCAGGAGCCAGTCATCCTAATGGTTCACGGTCGTGCTGCTGGAGTCCGCCGTGCAACTCATGACGATGCTGCTGGAATCTGTCATGCTGCTCACGAGGGTGCTGCTGGAGTCCGTCATGCTGCTCACGAAGATGCTGCTAGAGTCCGCCAGGCCCCTCCCGGTCGTGCTGCTGGAGCCCGTCCTGTTGCTCACGGTGTTTCTGCCAACGTCCGACATGCTGCTCAGGGTCTTGCTGCAGGAGTCCGTCGCGTTGCTCACGATGGTGCTGCCCGAGTCCGTCGTGTTGGTCACGGCCGCGCTGCTGGAAACCGGCGTGCGGCTCGCGGTCTTGTTGCTGGGGTCCGTCATGCTGCTCGCGGTAGTGCTGCTGTCGTCCGTCGTGCTGGTCACGATGGTTCTGCTGGAGTCCGCCGTGCTGCTCGCGGTCGCGTTGCTGGGATCCGTCGTGCTGCTCACGACGGCGTTGCTTGAGTCCATCATGCTGCCCACGGTCGTGCCGCCGGATTCCGATGTGCTGCGCACAATGCCGCAAGAGTCCGTCACGCTGCTCAGGGTCGTGGCGCTGGAGTCCGCCTTGCTGCATGCGAGCCGGGTCCTGATCACCGGGGTCGCTCCGTGTGGCGCCAGGGCCGCCAGCTGGCACGAGGCCCGGCGGGGCGCCCAGCGGGGCCGCCGCACGGGCGGCGAGCCTGGCCGCCCAGTGCGAGCGCGGGCACCGCCTTCCACGGCTCCGCGGTGGCCGCCGCCGCGGCGACGCCCGCAGCAGCACCGGCTGAGCGCGAGGGGCCGGACAGAGGCGCCCGCCGCGCCCGGACCGCAAGCCGCACGAGCGGCGCCAGCCGCCGCGGCTTCCTCGGCGCAGGCGGCGCTGGCGGTGCACGCTGCGCCCGCATCGCGGGCGGCGCCCCTGGCGCTCGCGGCGCCCGCGGTGCCCGCGGCGCCCGCGGCGCCCGCGGGCCCGCGCCGCGGAAGCGCCCGCGGCGCTGGCGGCGCCAGCGGCGCCCGCAGCAGCCGCGGCGCCCGTGGGGCCGGCGGCAGCCACGGCGCCCGCGGCGTCGGGGGCGCCCGCGGCAGGCGGCGCGCCGCTGCGGGCGGCGACGCGCCGCGGCGGTCTCCATCGTCCGCGGAGGCCGCCTGGCGGCGGACGGCCGCCGCCCCTGGCGCAGCAAGCCGGCCAGGCGCCCTCGAGCCAGAGCGGTGTGAGCCAGAATGGCCACAGTCGTGGGCCCTGTGAAATTACAGCAGTACCTTGCACGTAATCACTCTCTGCACCTTGCATGTTGTATGCTACGCCGCCCTCTTGGCCGTCGGCCCTCGCAGCTGGCGTACTGTCACGCCCCTGCGCGCAAACTGTAGCTTGCGCTGCCGTGTTGGGATCGCCCATTTCGGTTGCTGACGCACGCTGCCTGGTGGTAACGATCGCGCTTTACACGTTTCTCACGATAAGTATAATTACGTACTGTTCTAGAGTCTATCCGTGATGTTCTAGAATCTAGACCCGGGTTACATGCCTGAGACCTGACGTTTTGCTCTGAACGGCCTCCGCATCTGCTGCTTGCGCACGCCCTGCCAGTCGAGGACAAGCCAGCCTGAGCAACGGGACCAGCAACGGGACCGGTACCTGAGATCCGCCGCCGTGCCCCTGGCACGCTGAGGCGTGCTGGACTGCCAAGTGCTGTCTGTATTCTTCTGGGGGACCTGCCCTGCCCCCCATCTCCGGGTGGCACCTCGGCGCGCGCACTGGCCATGCTCCCGGGGGCGTCACTGGGCGACCATTTGGGGCTCTCCACGGCTTCCATAACAGCGCGGGAGGCCCCAGGGACGGTCCAAGAGTGCCCCCAGTCGCCGAACGATCGCTCGAAGACGTCCAAGATGGCCTCAAGACGGCGCAAGGGGCTTCCAAGGCGCAAGAGGTCTCCCAAGAGGTTCAAAGATTGGTTCCCCTTCTGATTTTGAAAGATTTTGGCGGTCTCGCCTTTTCGGCTTTCCGACGCTCCAAGACGGCCCAAAAGGCTCCCAAGACCACCCCAAAACGGCTCAAGAGGCCTCCAAGAGAGCCCCAAGACGGCCCCAAAAGGGGCCCCAGAGAGGGAGCACGGAACGGAAATTCGAGCCTTCGGCACAAGGGGCGCCCAGGAGGCCCCAAGAGGTATCCAAGAGGCCCCTAAGAGGCCTCCAAGCGGCCCCAAAACGGCCCCCAAGAGGCTTCAAAACTGCCTCCGAGAGGCCCCCGAGAGCCCTTCCACGAGACTCCAACGAACATCCACGAGGCGTATCACCCACAACCCAGGAACGGTGACGGGACTTGCCGTAGGCAGCTGGATAACTTTAGTTGTGATTATCGCTTGCTACGCATTGACGTTCTGTAGTTGACTGGCTCCTACTGTGCTGGGCCTCAGACTTCCCTGATGCAGAACTGCGCATTTTGCTGATCCCCACCCGTTCCGTTCCCCGCTCTCTCTCTCTCTCTCTCTCTCTATTTCTCGCTTCTTCCTCGCTTCTCCCCCCTTCAGGTCCACTGCTTCCTCGGCCAGCCCACAGGGATCGCTAACCTGTGCTCCAAAGCTACCCCCCGGGGAACCTCGCGGCCTGCGACCGTTCAATTTGCAATCGCTTTTCCTGCCATCCGCCGCTCCAAGCACGTGCGCTCGCCGCGGAGGCATGGCGTCGCTGCGTGCATTGTCTCGGCTGTGCGTCCATGCCCTGCTTGGCGGTCCAGTTTGGGCGGACCCGTCGACAGCCCATTTCACTTGTTTTAGTCAGAGCCTGAACTTACGAATCTATCCACGAGAGACGCCCTCGGGCTCCTGCGCGCCAGCGCCCACATATCTGTGTATTGCTGACGCGTTGGTCATTGGGCATGCTCTCAGTCTGCCCAATATTGGTCGAAGCAAAAGACCATCCCTCCCCCTTTTCCTCTCCTCCTCCTCCTCCTCCTCTTCCTCCTCCTTCTCCTCCTCCTCCTCCTCCTCCTCCTCCTCCTCCTCATGAGTCCTCCCCCTCGGAGGAGGTCAGGGAAGACGACGACGACAACACCGACGGCTGTGGTGCTGGCGATGGCGGCGGCGGCAGCGATGGTCCGCGGGGCCCGGCGGTGGCGGCCTGCCTGCCGAAGGCCGCCGAAGGCCGCCCGAGGCCGCCCACGGGCCTCCCACGGCCACCCAGGGCCGCTGGAGGGCCCCGGAGGGCCAGGAAAGGCCGGCGGCGCGGCGCGGCCTGTCCCAGGCGGCAGCCACTGCGCTGAAGTTCTGGCCAGAAGCCACGCCGCGGCGCGACGCCTCCTGCGGCGGCTCCGCGGTCAGCAGCCGGGGCCACAGCCCGCCCGGGTCGTCGTCGTCGTCGTCGTCGTCGTCGTCGTCGTCGTCGTCGTCGTCGTCGTCGTCGTCGTCGTCGTCGTCGTCGTGGCGGCACCTGCACCCGCAGCGGCCGCGGCAGTGGTGGCGGGAACGATCATGGCGAGAGCAGTGGCAATGGAAATGGCAGCGGTTACGCAGTGCCGGTTGCAGAGGTAATGTAAATTGCAGTGCGGTGGCAGCGGCCATTGTAACGGTCATGGTGTTGGTTGGGAGGCGATGGCAATGGTCCGCCACAGTGCCTGCACAAAGTGGGCGTGTTAAAATGACTGTCTGTTGTCTGGGAGGTTTTGAAGTTTTCTACGCCCCCCCCTTGCCGCACGCTCCTGAAAAAAACCGTTCCCCCTGAATTTGCTCTCTGGCAATATGCTCGACCGCCAGACGGCCAAGATGGACCCCAAGACGATTTGCAAGACAGCCAAGATGGCACCCAAACGGCCTTGGATGGCCCAAGTCGGCTCAAGAGGCTCCCAAGACGGCCTGAAAACACACCAAGAAGCCCCCAACACGGCCCGACAGGGCTCCAAGAGGCCCTCCTGAAGAGCCCGAAGAAGCCAAAACCATTGACTTCATCCGAAGTGTGTTTGTTGTTCTTTGGACACACCGCGCAGTCCTCACCCACACCCTCTCCTCTTCACACCCATTCCTTCTGTCATCTCACACACACACACACAAACACACCGACACACTCACACAATCACACACTCATACATTCATCTTGAAGAACCCTCACGCAGGAGCGAGCCTCGTCCGCAACGAATTGCGAGAACGTCTCAGGCAGGGCCCCCCTCCAATGTGGAGCCCGCGCTTCATGATGGCACTCGGAGCGGGTCATCCGAACCTTGTAACCGTCGTCATGTTTCGGCCCTTCGCGTTTGAATTATGACGGCACCTCGTGCGGGAGCCTCGTCTGTGAGTGAATCGCGAGGAAATCTTAGGCGGGAGCCCCTTGCCTTGGAGGCTGCGGCTCACGTTGGTGAACGGAGCGGGTCATCCGAACCCTTTAACCGTCGTCACTTTTCGGCCCCCTCGCGCTTGTTTTTTTTTTTTTTTTTTTTTTTTTTTTTTTTTTTTTTTTTTTTTTTTTTTTTTTAAAAAAAAAAAAAAAAAAAAAAAAAAAAAAAAAAAAAAAAAAAAAAAAAAAAAAAAAAAAAAAAACACGGGCGGGACCCTCGTTCGCGAGTGGCTTCCGAAGAAATCATAGGCGGGAGCCGCCCCCCTAGGGAGCCCGCGCTTCATGTTGGCAATCGGAGCGGGTCATGCGAAACCTACAAACCTTTCGACAATTTTGGGTTCCGCAACCAGGCTTGAATCGTGAGGAAGTTTTTCGCGGGAGCCTCGTCTGTGTGTGAATGAGTCGCGAGGAAGTCTCGAACGGGAGCCCCCTGGCTATGGTGCCCGCAGCTCCATGTTACAATCCGGGTGAATCCTCGGGACCTCGTAGCTGTCGTCAACGTTAGGCTTCTCAAGAATTAAGGGTGATGCGAAGCCTTGCGGCGAATCCGAGCGGGGTCACTTTTGTGCTCTTAAGAGGGCCACTCGCTCGGCAGAACCCAATCCCCCGACGCGGCGATGGCGTCACCATCGACTGCGCCACATGGATTAGGACGCTGGTCGTAGGGCATGTCGGACGAGCAGTGGTGGCCGTACCTTTGCATCATGTTCTCCCGCGCCGCGTGCATGCATAACCTGCTGATCCTGCGGCCGCCCACGCAAGAATTCCTGGAGTGCGGGCCGCCGGCGTCCTGCGGAAAACGCTCGGGAATTCACCGAGATAAGGGAGAAACTAGACATGAGGCGGAGCAACTCGCAGCACGACTGGGCTTCGCGCTGCCCCCCGCCTGAGCGCGGCCGCGCCCGTCTCAAGGCCCGCGGGGTTGTCCCCACAGCCTGGCCCGCGGGGTTGTCCCGACGGCCTGGCCCCGCGCCCCAGCGGCACGCGGGGTTGTCCCAAACGGATGGCCCGCAGGATTGCCCCAACGGCTTCGCGATCTAGCCGTCGGCGAACGCGCGCGCCCGAGCGCGCGCTGGCCGAGGCGGCGACGGCGCCGAGGAAAATCCCAGGAGGAACGGGGGGGTGCACATGAAAAGAGTCAGGAGGAGGATGAGGAGGGGGGAAGGGGTAGTGGGAGGTGATGGTGATGATGATGATGATGATGATGATGGTGATGACGATGATGATGATGATGGTGATGCTGATGATGATGATGACGATGATGATGATGATGCTGTTGATGATGATGATGAGGATGATGAGGAGGATGATCATGATGATGATGATGCTGATGCTGATGCTGATGCTGATGATGATGATGATGATGATGATGATGATGATGGTGATGGTGATGATGATGATGATGATGATGATGATGATGATGATGATGATGATGATGATGATGATAAGGAGGAGGAGGAGAAGGAGAAGGAGGAGGAGGAGGCGGAGAAATAAAAGGAGGAAGAGGGGGAGAGGGCAGAGCAGAGGGCGACAGGAGGGTGCCCGCCAGGGCGAGGGGGGAGGGGCGAAGGGCAATCCAAATAGATTATGATGTGGGGTCCCACCGTCGGAATAATTAATCGATCTTGAGGCTCTCGCCTGCTTGGCTGTCCGAACGCCCAAGGCGGACCAAGACGCCTCCAAGATAGATCCAAGACTGTCTACGAGGCCCCCATAGAGGGCCCGCATCGGCCCAAGAGACCCAAAGATCGCCCGGGGGGCTTCCGAGAGGGCCTTGAGACGGCCCTGAAATGATCCAAGAGGGCACCAAGACGGCCCAGACAGGTCCCCAAGACACAGGACGGCCTCCGAAGGCGTCAGACGGGCCAAGACTCCCCTGAGACGGCCCAAGAAGCCCCGAAGCTCCCAAGGGGCCTGGGAGGCCTC